CGTTTTCCCTGGATAGTTACCATAGTTACATGAGCTGTTTATAACTTCAAGAGGAGGAACTAGGTCACAATATTGAAGGAGTTTGAATTATGCAATTATGTTCCCTAAAAGCAGGGGAAAGGGTTTAAAATTTAGGGAAGAAAGATGTATGTTCAAAGTTCAACCTCTCGTCAAATTTTGCTGGTGAAACCTAAACATTTGCCAAAAATTCAATTAGTTGTTCGGCCTGCACAAATAATGTAATGACTGGATCCGTGAGTAGGTTAAAAGATGCCAACAGGTTGTGGATACCACTTGATCTTAGTGGGCAATCTTACCTTAAAATGGTTTTACAGGTAATCAGTGAACCCAACAATAGCCTAGCATCTTGAAGTAGCCAAGCCACATGTAAACTGAAGCTTTGACCTTTTAGAAAGCTTGAGATTAAAGTTTAGCTCAATGCCTATCAGATGCTACCCTTAATTGGAGGACTTCTCCAGTTAATTTCATCAGATGCATATACAAGAGTGGTATAGAGGGAAGATATTGAAAGCTGTGGTAGCATAGACTTTACCCTTCCTTAAAGTTATGTGTTTTTTTGTTGTTGTTGCTGTTTTCCTGACAACCTCTCAAATAGATGATTTTATGCAGGATCCCTGAACAGTGCCCAACCAACAGAGGTCAGGTGAGGGAAAAGAAGAGGAAAAAATAATGCATTTCAGGCTCGCACGATTTCAGATATTTTCCATCTCATCATCAGTATAGACTTAGTCATTTTATAGCTAAAAGTAATCTTAGATCAATGATTTCCCCAAAGGAAGAGAAAGCAGGCAGCCTTGCGGAGTAGCCGGGGAAGTCACTGCCGCTGATGGTGGTTTAATTTCTCGTAACTGTAGAGCTGGGGAAGGAGTCACTGAACTGTTATAGATCCACTCTAGACCAACTGTTACTTTACAGGGATAGATAATACCGGGGCCCAGAGAAGTTCAAGCAACTTGCCTGGGGTCACATACCAATTCACAAAATAAGTGTATACCTAAAAACTTAAGAGTAAAGCAAATATTAGTTAATCAGAGTCTGGCTGATAATCATTGGGAAGGGAAAGAGTACCCATAGCAAAAAATAAACAAACAAACAAAAAAACCCTAAGAACTTGGAATATATAAAGTTACTTTTTGGAGAAGTTTTGTAGCAAATTTAACAAAATTACCTCGAAAGGAAAATTAGGATTTTCTGAACAGTAATACTTAGAATAGCACATGATTAAAAGTACTAGAAAGCATATGTCTTTTAGACTTATTTAATTTTTAGACAGCAAATGGCTTATACCATCATCCAGCTGAAGTATGAATAGTCATCCCATAAACCAAAAGGCCGCAGGTCTGATTCCCAGTCGGGGTGCGTGCCTGGGTTGTGGGCCAGGTTCCTGCTTAGAGGGGGTGTAAGAAGCAACCAATCCACATTTCTCTCTTACATTGATGTTTCTCTCCCTGCCTGTCTCCTTTCTCCTCTTCCCTAAGCATGGCCTTGGGTGAGGATTAAAAAAAACTTTTCCTAATAAATAAATAAACTAATGGTACTGGCCAGGAGTTTTTTGCTAAATCTTTTTTTCACTTTAAATAAGTCTAAGTGATTATTTAACGAGGCATTATTGGAGCTATGGTTACAGTAATTACTCTTGGCATGGTTTAGTCCAGCATTTTGGTGAATATTGATTTATCTTTTGAGGGTAACACATTTTTAAAATTGTGTATCTATTTCCTTTTTTAAAGAAGCTTTTATTTTTAGAGAGAGGGAGAGATGCATGGATGGGTTGCCTTTAGTACACCCACAACTGGAGACCTGGCCTGCAAGTCAGGCACGTGTCCTGGCTAGGAATGGCAACCTTCTGGACTCAGAAACACACTTTTTGTGAAGCTTTTTAACAGTTCAGAAGTTTAGGAGTAGCCTTTTCCTCATTCGGTGTAGCCTTCAATGTGTTGGGCTTTCTTAATTTTTGTGATCTCACTTGAGTATTTTAAGTTAAACTGGAATGATTTGTATCATTTTTATGAATCAGGCGTTTGAAATTCATATTAAGGTCAACGCTATGAGTTAATGCTGGCCACAACATCCACCTATGACCTCGGAAGGGACCCATGAAGTATGTTCACCCAAGAAGTGTCCCCAAAGTCTCTTATTGGCCTGTGGGGTCTTCTCTACAACATTAGAAGAGAAATGTGTACATAGGTGGTAGGTGAGAATGGAAAAAGATTGGGAGAAGAGCCCAGGTATCATACAGCAGAGGATGAGGTAGCGGAAGCAGCTATCCACACAGTATTTCTGTTGCATGGCTTCAAGAACTCTAAGAAGTTGACTCTCCCCTACTGGACTTGTTTTCTAGGTGCTTTTCAGTGTGTGGAAGTGGTGCTGCATCATGTAACTGTACTCTGGTGCATGTACAGAAAACGTGTACATACAATATTTATGTAATATATATGCAACATATGCAATTGGCTTACTAGGTTTTAGGGACTGAGACGTGCCAGGGTCTGCAGCCAGCAGGCTGGGGACCCTCCCAGTCTGAGTCTGAAGATCTGGGAACCAGGGCAGCTGATGGTGTCAATTCCAGTCCCAGTCCGAGTCTGAAGGTGGGAGAAGACTGCTGTCCCAGCCTGAAGGGTCTCTCAGCTCCACCTCTTTGTTCTAGGTGGGGCTTCAGGGGATTGGATGAGGCCAAACAATGGGCTTTCAAAGTCCAGAATTCCAGTGCTAATCTCAACCGTCTCACACACACCCAGGATAAAGTTTAACCAAAACTGGGCATCCTCGTGGCCCACGCAAGTTGATATATAAAATTAACCATCACAACACTATTATACGTATGTTTCCAAATGATTGATTATGCATACTATTTTCAAATTCAGTTATCTTCTGTGTTTGCCTTTGAACACTTAAAAATGTTTTGAAAGTGATAGACTAATGAAATAAAGATTTTTTTTTGCACTACATAAAATTGGGATTTGTAAATTTTTTTAACAATCTTTGATTTTGGAATTATACATATTACCTGCAGTGAATCACTGTTGTATTCGTCACAGACACTTCCTTTTGACCTCTTTAGGATACCTGCACTGAAATTTTAGGGATTTAACATGATTTTTTAAATGCCATGCATGGATTTAATTGTTATGGCTATGAAGAATGTACAATCAAGTGTTTTAATAATTACATGTGGCCTTTGACTATTCACCCAACTATACCTGAGAGCTATAAATTTAAGATGTCTTTTTCTCAGCAGTGAGAAGCGGATATTTAACATTTGTGATGTTGGTCAGGCAACGAGTAAATGAAATTTGCCACGGAGAGCATTTCACGCTATTCCCACACACTCTAAGTTCATTATGGCAAAGTGGCAATTCTACACCATCTCCTATGTCCCAAAAGAAGTCTTGAAAAACTCAACAGCTTATTTGCTGTTGCAACTGAGATTTTACTTCTAAATATTTCTTGACTCGTAAGAAGTCTTAAGGCTACCTGGAGTAGCAGCAGGCTCCCTCATTCGACTTTTAGGATTACGCAGCAGAGACTATTTGTGATCTGACAGCATTTAAAACATCAGTCTTAGGGCAATTATTGAACTACACTGCAGAACTCATTTTTAAGCTATACCACCCTCTATGCAGTAGCTTGCTCAGAAGCCAGGCAGTCAGCACTTGTCATTGATGAAGTTCAAAAGCCTAGTTTGATTTGAAAAATAAATGGAGGTGGCAGCAGCAGTGAATTCAGGCCTCTCTGTGGTAGGCTGAATAATGGACCCGAAGGGTATCCCTGTCCTAATCCTTAGAGCCTGTAAATATGTTACATGACAAAGGAGAATGTTGCAGACAGAATTGATAAAGCTGGTCAGATGTTGTTGAAATAGGGAGATTATCCATGTGACCCCAGTGTAGTCAATCACTAGGGTCCCTGTAAGTAGAAAAGGGAGGCAGAAGTGTCAGAAGGGCAGAGTTAGAAGTCAGGGTCAGAAAAGGAGATGTGATGCACCAGGATCAGTGCGAGGCAGTGAGGCCTCGCCCCGCCGCTAGCTTTGCAGACAGACGGAGAGGGGCATGAACCACGGAATGCAAGCAGCCTCTGGAGGCCGGAAAAAGAGAGGGAACAGATTCTCCCAAGGAGCTTCCAGAAGGGAACACAGAGCTGCCAATAAATTGATTTGAGCCCAGGGAGACCTGCATTGGATCTAACCTACAGATTTGTATTAAACCCCATTAAACTTGTGGTAATTTGTTACAGCAGCAATAGAAAATCTATAGGCTGTTAATGTTGTTTTAATTTCTCTGCGGTAGGTAGAGGCTTAGAAGGGAAGCTTGGCTTTGATGCCTGGTGGCATGGATTCCCTTAAAATAAAAAGAGGTGGGATTTCAAATTCTAAAAACCCAGCAAAATCAACAAAAAATTCAAAGATCTGTTTCCGGGGAACAGAGCTGAGCTGACCTTATACTACTTCCTGTATGTCACTTTCACACTGATGGAGATGCAACAGGGTCAGCAATTTTCACTTTTTCGCTATTCTCCCAGAACCGACTCCCATGAAAATTTATAGGATGTCTGACTTCTGAAGTACTATCTTCCCTGGTTTCAGAAAGCAAAAATCTTAAAATCTTTACTCATTTATGTTAGCTCACATCAGCAAAAGGCAACCACCAAGAAAAAATTAATGGAGCAGACAAAGACAGACACTGAGCGAGCAGAGCTTACATCAAATGTACTGAAGCACAACCTGGTGTAATCAAGAGACATTATCTGTGGGAGAGACCACAAAAGAGATGGTTTTTTTTGTTCCACACCTGAGTTGACATCACTCTTTATCTGCCTGGTTCCTGAAATTTCTCCCAAGGTTTGTTGAGAAGAAAAAAATCCTTAACCTAACCCAAGCAGCCCTCCTTCACTTGATAATTTGATTTTAAGCTATTGTCTTGAAATAATTCCCTATATAGAAGGTTGGAAAAAGTAATTTGTTACCAAGTATAAAGCGTCCCCAAGCATCAAAACATAACTTTAGTGGTAGGCTACCCCGAAGTTTTTAGAATTGATAAGCTACCCATGCTTCACAGAACCACCAATGTTTATTTCAAATTACATTTTCTTTTCAAGTAAGATTTTTCTAGTAAGTTTACTCATCCAGCACTCAGGGATTCCAAAACTTCAAGGGACATCGTTCATTGTATCAAATGACGTTATACTCCATGTGAATGGCGCCCCCTGCTGTTGCGCATCTCAATGGCTCTGTATTTAAGGCTCTGATGACTTGGGTATTTCTTACTCAGGCCTCTTTGTTCCCATCTCTTGAAACCTCCTACAGAGTGATGCATTATTTGTAGTTGCAGCAACCCAGGAAGACCCATCAAATGAAAATTGTCATTGCTTCCACCACTGCGTTTCTGACGATGGTTAAGTTCATGCTATAAAGCAGAGGTCAGAGACCCCATCTCAAATCCTTGCTGCTGCTTTACACTTCTCAAAATCTACCAGGGCTGGATGAGTGGATCTTCACGTACTTGCTTTCCCTGGTGGGGACTTCTGTAAAGTCACATCATCCTTCTCCCCTTTTCTATGAGCCATAATAGCAGAATGACAGTAATGAATGTGAACTACAGGGAAAGTGAATATATTCAAAGTAGAATTTATTTCAGGTTCATTTCTCATTAATTGCATTATTTGAAACACGAGGACAGGAAGGTGCACATGCTTTATCCCATATTGGTTTCCAAACTGCAGGTTATTGAGCATGTGTGATAACTCCCTCATGAAGTAAGTTCCACCAGCACAGGGCACATGGCTAAGATAAAGTACAAAGGCCTCCATAGACCTCCATTACTCTTGCTTTCATGAGAACCATCTTTTCCTTAGCTAGTGTAGAAAAATATTTAATAATCAAATGGTAAAGAACAATGGGCATTATGTTTCATAATTCTAGTAATCCTGTTACTAGAATTTAATTTGATTATACCGATTATATCATTGCCTCTGTAAATTGTCCCTTTCCGTTCTACAAATAGAATGTTTAGAAAATATTTTCCAATGATTATCTCAGTTACATGTCTGAGCAGTTCCTTTAAAGTTTACTTCTTTAGAAACTCCCTAAATAAAATTTCCCCAATTTTCCCCAAAGTGTTATTAGGCTTATTTTCTGGAACACTGGAAACAAGTACCACAGGACAGCACATCTCATTGGAGTTCACACTCAATGCCTCAAATTAGAACCAAGCCATTAATACCAACCCACCTCACAGGGCTTAGAGAGTCTTCAACAAGACATGTAAATCAACCTATTGTAGGTATCTCATAAATGGTAGCTGTTCACACGGTGAGTTCTTGTGGGGCTGATAGTTCTATCTTTTGACCTTGGTAATTGTTTGTGTGGGCACTGAATTAGTAACTATTGGACTTGACATATAAACAGATCGAAAAATTTGGGTTAAAAGCACATGACACCATTCTTCAAAATCAAGTTTCTAACTGCACCATTAAACAACAAAAAAATCCTGATTTTTAGCACTGTCAAGAAAAATCAGTCTCAGGACATCACCTGGCCTCATTGATTCTTAAAAATTCCTTTTCCCATCTTAATAATCCAACATCAACTGCACTCACATGGGCTGATTCCCTACTTAACTAGGTCACACAAGTTCTAGGAAGCATTAACAAACAGCTATCAACATGACTCATTTTGAGGAAATGAGGGTTTGGAAAGACGTTGTGGACACTAACAATAAACTTGTTGAAAACCAGTCTTAGGTGAAGCATCAGAAATTTTAGCATTCGGAGAAGTGAGAATGGTAAACAATACAACATAGTAAAAGCTTGGGCTCTGGAATCTGGCTTGAAATTGATCTTTGACCAAATCCTTTTTCGGTTTCTTCCATCTGAAAAGTGGGCCAAATGAAGACGGCTGGCCACAAGGCTGTGAAGCAGTTAATAACTAAGATAAACTGCACCACAGTGGGCACTTTAAGTATATCATCTTGTTCATGCTCTGAGGCAGCTATTAGTCCTACTTTATAGATGAAGTCAAAGGTTCAATTCCCAGAGGGAGCCTCGATTCTCAAGAATAAAACATTCCAAAGCCTTTTTTCTTCTGCACTATACAATCTTGAATTACAAAATATGCACTTTTCTTAAATCATGAATTCTTTGAAAACTGGTTATTTTATAAGCTTTTAATAAGTTTATAGCATATAAATGTTTACAAGTTAAACAGTATTTGTTTTTATACTAAGCAGCTTCTTCCAATTCTACCACACCCAAATGTTACTGGAATTTAAAATATTTTCAGGAACCTTTACATTAACTTGAAACAAGCCAATTTAGGAAGTTACCAAACTACCTAATTAGATATATTATAGAAATTTATTCTCTGTAATATTTGACTCACCTTTCTGACAATCATTGTCCCACAATATACACATTCCAAAGCTAAGGGAAGAGAATTAAAAGTGCTTTGACATGTTCATGTTATTGCCTCTCACACACCTCTTAGAGAATGTGGACATATCTCCGATATCTAACATCCTCAAGTTAGCAATTTTTAAAGGTTATCTGCGGAAATAAAACACCTTGACTTCAAGTATATAAAGTACCCTTGTCTATTTCTAGAATATAAATTAAAAATAAATTCTACATACTTAAATTGTGCTCCGTACAATTAGTTTATCTAGTCTAATATAATTGGCATGAGAAAGGTCATTTCTTGATTTTTTCTCTGTACATTATCATCACCATTACCACCCAGTAGGCAGCATCTTGAAAGCCAGAAGAAAAGCCATGGTGATAACAAACATATTGGGCCAGAGTTTTAAGAAAATGAAACAGAATATACTGCAGTCAAGTAATATAGTTAGAATCACCAAAGACAAAAGCAGGATTCCATTTCATTACGAGTAAGTATAATTCAATTGAACAGGCTCATGAGAGAACTGAGCACGGCTCTCTATTCATTCCAGTATTTTTAAAAAATGTATAAACAGAAAAACCACACAGTTCTAGATTTGCAAACTGCACCATCTCTAATTGTGTAGAAATCAGCTATGAAAAACGACGTGGTTCTAATTTACAATGAGCGGTAGTGGGACACTTACTTGCAGGAATTGGTTCTGCCTTAAGGGAGGAAAAAAAAAACCACAACTTCTTGAAAAGGTAAAATAGCTTAAAGCATTTAATATCTAAACAAATCAATCTGTTAATAGCAGTAGTCACAAAATATGCTTAATATAGAAACCCACATTTATGTCTTTTAAGAAAAAGTGTAAATTGTATTTAACCTCAAAACATAAATTATTAACCCACTTAAAGAATCTGCAGCAGTCAAAATCATGGTGAATTTTAAACAACTTCAGAATAAAATAACCTTAAGTACTTTATACTGCTTTGTATCAAAAAAATGTTTACAACTTCTCATAAAAATAGTCTGAGGCAACTATTTTTTCTTTTATTCTTTAACAGGTATGTTCACCATTATGGGCAACATTCTTAAAACCTTAAGCTTCAGACTTCCAGACACTCAAACACTGTGGTCCCCTTTTCTTGATGTGGGAGGAGGATTCCACCACATCATCCTAATAGGGAAAGAAAAGCACGGTAGACAACCTAGTACATTTTCATCAAATCAATAGTAGTACAAAAGTTTTAAGACTCTACAGAACTACACATCGTACCTAATGTATCATTAAAAATAGAAGACAGTATTTTCTTGAGCAAATAGAACAGCACACTGGTATGCTGTGAATGCATATCTTTTAATGTATACTGTCATTCATTAGTTATTTACAACTACTGTGTGAGGCGGGCAAGAATGTAAATTTTCTGCAAAACTGGAAAAAAGCAATATAAAAATTGTGAAAGCCCGTGTTTACGTTATACAAAAGCCAGTTTTTCTAACAATACCAGATACCGTACACGGTGTTATTTTGCACATATTACAGCAATTCTTGAGGATGTTTTAGTGCTGGAGGTAAGTTTATCGGCCTCGATTCCTCATCAAGGAGCACTAGGTCTTCTATTTCGCTGCCTCTGTATTTCCTTTTACATATTTTTACCACCACCTTTTTCTTGAGAAATAACTTCAGTGCTTCTCTTGATGCAACTGCCTTGGCATTTTCTTTGCTTTTCCCACAGCCAGTGCCCAAATACACAGACTTGCACCTCAGTTCACAAACAACACTTTCCTGAGAGCTCTTGTTTTGAGGCAGATCTGCCAGTTCTTTTAGGGGGACAAAAAACACATCCAGTGTTGCTTTCAGAGCCTCGATGGCTGCATTTAGGAGCTCGCCATGATTAACACTGGGACTAAAGCCACCGACAGCTACCAACTTCCACGCCACCGTTTTATAGAGTCTGTTGAAAAAAGGTTGCTTCTGTTTCACATCTTCGTTGGTTAACTTGCAACATGAGAATTTGACAGACGTGTCACTTGACTGGGAAGTGCTTTTAGAAGGCAACTGGGATGTGCTTGTCTGAGAACTACTCTTAGATGCCAGCTGGGACACACCTGCTAAGGAAGTGCTTTTAGAAACAAGAGATCCACTGGTCTGTGGGCTGCTCTTGGAAGCTAACAGTGATGCAGCTACCTGCGAAGTGCTTTTGGAAGTCAGCATTGATGTATTTGCCAATGTGCTGCTCTTGGGAGTTAGTAAGGATGTGCCTGACGAGGAACTGTTCTTAGAAACTGATGATGAAACACTTGCCTCTGAACTGGCTTTGGAAGTTGACCCACTTGAAGCTGTCTCTGAACTAGGTTTAGAAGACAACAGGGGCAACTCTACCTCTGAGCTTCCTGAGGAGCCCAACAAGGGCACCTCAATCTCTGAGGTGCTGGGAGAAGCTGAGACTGAGGAGCCTTCCAAAGCACTCTTTTTAGGTGATCCACTTTGTTGACTAGAATCTGAGGGTGGGGTCACATGGCTATTCACACTGGATTTCAACAGCGCAGAAACCAATGATGCTGACCCACGTTTATCTGGGGCTTCTGATTCAGAAGCTTTTCCAGACCCTGCCATTGTTACCTGAGAAGAAACGCTGCTGCTGCTGCTGCTGCTTTGGCTGGAAACAGATGGATCTCCGTCGCCTGTGGAGCTACTCTGATCTGAAGTGCCCGAGCTCCGCGTGGAGTTCCCGCCACTCTCTGATTTGGTAGAGGACCCCGAGCACGCTGAGCTGTTTTCCTGCTGAGCTGATGCACGTTCTGTTTTGGCAGGAGTTTTTGCATGATCTTGTTGCTCAACTGCAGAATTGTTTTTTCCTTCTATAACTCGTTTTTTCGTTGGCTCTTCTACCCCTTCTAAAAAGAAGGAAAACACATATGTGACTAAGTTTGCCTTGTACACATCAACTGAAAATTTACAGAACATATATTCATTAAAATAAACGCACAAGGCAAAAATATTTCAGGACCAGTAGTTTCTTTAAAACGTGTGAAACAGCTTCATTAATTTCTTAAAACAGCATGGAATAACATCATTAACTTCTAATATTAAAAAATCAACAGCACAGACATTTGACACTTCAAAATCTAAAGTGGTTAAAGGAAACTATCAAATTCAGAGCCTAAAAACACAGACACATACATTAGGTTTAACATTTCAACTCGATTAACATCACAGCAATTTCAGGTCTTTAAGAAAGATAAGTGACAGTAATTCCTAATTTTATCAAACTTATGCTCTAAGCTCCTATGTATGTTCACATCTATGATCTGCTAACCATTGCTACTTGATATCCCTCTTTTCTTCACCTTGGCAACCAGTTCGTCTCGTGTTGTATGGATTGGAGCATCTGTCACTTTGATGCCTTCAGCCATACTAAGTATTTTATCCATAACTTTTTGAGGGTACCTGGAAAAGAAGGAAAAGCCACTCTCAAAAAGTGTTTGATCTGAGTTGTCACTTCTCGTGTGCGAAAATGGGCCACAGGAATGGCATTTCCTGGTTGTAATTAAAAAAGCGTATCAACCGCCAGGAGCTGTTTCCCGAACCCCAGACACAAGTGCCCCAGACTCCGGGGGGGACGAGGTCAGCCCTTATCAGCCTTAAACTCAGCATGCGTCCGCAAGGGCGCCGTCGGCCCCCAACTCCACCAGGAGACCCCCCCACCCAGCCTGGGCGCCGACGACAGAAGGGGCGCCGACGGGCCGCGCACCCGTCGGCTTCCGGTAGGGACGCCCTTCTCACCGCAGAGGGCAGCGGGGCCCGCGGGTTCCCGCGCTTCGCGGCTTCCCCTCCCCGCCGAGGGCTCCGGGCCGCCGTCCCCCGGCCGAACACAAAGCCCGCAGAGCCGCCGCGAGGCGCTCCCGCACTCACCGGCACCCGAGGAAGACATGGTTGGCCCAGGCCATGGAAAAGGAGATGAGCTGCTGCAGCTGCCGACTGCGGCTCCCGCCCTCGGCGTCGGCAGCGTCCTCCGTGTCCGCGGAGGCAGCGCCGCCGGTGGGGGCCAGGTCCCCCGCGTTGCGGAGCAGAAACTCCCGGCGGTGGCGCCAGTGTTTGTCAGTCTCGCCGTCGCAGCGCAGCGCCTCCACCCAGGCGGCCACTCGCGGGTTCTGGCTCAGGTACTCCGACACCTCCTGCGCCATGTTGGGCCTGTAGAGTCGCGGAGGCCGCGATCAGACGCTGCACCGGGAAGGCGGCGGGTGCGCCGGGCGAGCGGCCCTGTCACTGCGGCCTGCACCGGCGGGCCCCTGAGAACGCCCCTCAGGAGACCGAGACCGAAAACAACAGCGCCCGGAGCAGCTGGACCGCCCACTTCCGCCCGCCGCCGGCCCCTTCCCTTTTATAACCTCGCCGCCGCCGAGCGGCGGCGCGTCCTTCCGGCGGGGCTCTCCCAGAACGCTTCGCGGCGCGCCGGCTGCCGCGGCGCTGCGGCCGTGGCTGGGGGCCCCGTCGGGAGGGAGTGGAGGCAGTGCTCGCACCCCCCCCGCCCCTGGAGGGCGGGCCGCAAGTGGATTCCTGGGCTGCCGCGCACCTCGGAACGATCCTCGGCGTTCTGGCTCGGCTTTGTGACGCCACAGGCTCCGCCGCCGCCGCACTCCCGCCCGGTCCGGTTGGGCGTCGGGAGTCCTGGCGAGGGAGGCGGGGCCGCCTGGGCAAAGTCCTCTTCTGCCGCCGGGCCCCTCCCGGGCCGTGCGTCCCCGACCGGGACGTTTGAGCGGAGCCAAAATAAAAGCTCACCTCCATCTTTTGATTGTGTCGGAAACAGTTTAAAGCTCTGTTTGAATGTAGACCAGCGAATTTTGAGGCGGACTCTGTGGCTGCGCATTTAGGAATGTGTAGGAACACGATAATAGTAATAATGGAGATAATAAAGTTTAACGATTAACGGGGTTCGATATTGCCCTGGGGAACACAGTCTTTGACACTCGCCCTAGAAGTACATGCCTAGATATCTATGATTACACACCTAGATAATATTTGTGCATTTTAAACCAAGAATGTTCTCTGTTGTTGTTGCCCTATAGCCTTCCACATGGGCTTCCATGCCTTGAAGGGGGAGAAATAGAGCCTGAATGTCTATTTTGTCGTTGTAATAAGAGCAATGTGGCCTTCAGGTTTTTATTAGCTCAAGTTGGGTTTGGTGTGCGTGCCTTCCTCGTTCGCCCCGCGATCCTGCTTCCTCCCAGGCTGGTTTTTGGTCGGTGACAACGCCTCACAGAGGAAGGTCTGCATCTGTCGTATTTCCTTTAACAATAACCCCAGCTGGTCAAATAGCAAGGAGTCGTTGTAGAAAAGTGCTTTTTTTTTATCTCAAACCTCCTTTCCTTTTAGAGCTTTTTTTTTCCTTGCATTTTTTCCACTTTAGAATGTCCTCACTTGCATTACTGCCAACTTGGTTATTATATGTTTCCAATTTCATATATAGAGTCTGGCAGAAGTAATGCCTGCTTGAGTGTGGTTGGTAGGGTAATATTATGGCTGTAATAATTTACAGTTTTAATTTGAACATGTCACCTAAAATGGTGTCATATAGTGTGCTTGAGTGTGATATTGCTATGTAACAGAATTACATGCTTATGATTTTGTAATAAAATATTTAGTAATTAAAGGAGCACTATTTGTGGCAACCCCTGTTTATGATTAATAAGCTAAAACAGGTGATATAATGATAAATTATGAAATAAAATGATTCTGTCATTAAGTGTGGATTTGATTTTAAAATGCTTGAATCAATAATCAAGAGAAAATGATCACTTAGATGAGATGAAATTAACAGTTTTAAAAAGCCATGTAATGTATATGGGGTGAGGCAAAAGTAGGTTTACAGTTGTTCTTATGGAAAGTAATACAATAATTAAGAATATATACAAGAATAAACTGTTACATGTACTCACAAATGTGAATGTAGTTTCACCCCAACCTGTGTACTTGCTGGAATTATCAAAATTCAGCTATTATGTGAAAATAACATTGTCCACTTTGCTGTCGTGCCCAAAGAAACCTAATAAAAATTTAGGCTACAACAAAATTTTGAAGTTTGAATGTTTGCGTCCAGTTTTGTTCTTTTCAGGGAAGATCGCTGAAACTTTGGAGGGGTGAAAGGATGCAGAAATCCAACAATTTAAAAGACTGGAAAATCTTACGGGGTTTGCTTCCATGAAATCTTTGGCAAGGGCGAGTTAGCAAGTACATGCCTAGATATCTATGATTACATACCTAGATAATATTTGTGCATTTTAAACCAAGAATGTTCTCAGTTTGTTGTTGTTGCCCTATAGCCTTCCACGTGGGCTTCCATGCCTTGAAGGGGGAGAAATAGAGCCTGAATGTCTATTTTGTCGTTGTAATAAGAGCAATGTGGCCTTCAGGTTTTTATTAGCTCAAATTGTTTTTAGAAAGAAGCAGGTACTTGACCAAAAAGATACATGTATTTTTCTTTATTCCTATAAAGTCGATTTTGCATATAAAGATTGAGGGCACAGACCATGGACCACAAAATTGGGAAGAAGAGCATTTATGTATTATTTTTAAAGGCCTTCTCATCAGAGGGGACCGATTCCTAAATTTATATGTGGCCTGGAGAGATTCAGAGAGAAAGGATGAGAAGCTAACTTGTGAAAATCAACGGTGGGGATGGTGAGGGTGGGAAGTGCTGGCTATGCACGGACCATATTGTTTTACGTTAAACCTCAACATAAATAAACATCAGTGCATTTGTTTGCTGCTGTGCAAATGAAATAAGAGTGTGGAGTTATCTTTTATGGGGGTTAGTTTCTAAGATTAACATGTAAATGAAAGTCAGATATGATCCCGCTGCCCAGGCAGACCTTGTTTAATTGCACCTGGTCGGCAGATGCAGCATTTGCATTAGCAGCAAGGCAGGATGCTCTGCCACCAAAAAGGTTACAACTTGCTGAAGGCTCAGAGGATGGCTGGCATTTTTTAGCATGAAGAATTTCCTAGTGAAAGTATGTACATTGGTGTAAACATAACTTTTATGTGCACTGGGAAACCAGAAAATTCAGGTGACTCCCTTTTTTGCAGTATTGTTATGGAAACAACCTCCCCCACACCCACCGCCTGCTCTCTGCCATATTCAGGACTGTGGCTCTTGATGCCAGAGCTTGGTAAAAAGGAGAGGAATTATTTAATTAAAAGCTGTACAGGTTTGGAATAATGGCGGAATTGCACTTGCTTTATTGCAGCAGTCTGGAATGAAACCTGCAATGTCTCAGAGGTGTGTCTGTACCTTCTTTCCTTGTGGTATAGAGATCACCTCGAAAAATAACTAAATAAAATTAATTAAAAAAAAAAAAAAGAAAGCCACCTCGGGCACCTGCTGACGGGAAGATGTAGAGAACTCCAGGCACTCAAACAATATGCTGTCATTCGGAAGCTTTCCTCTTCCCCTCTGCGCTTTCCCTGTGCTAGCTTCTGTCTCGAGCAAGCTCCTCCTACTATTGGCCCCCCCCACGTGGGTTCCTAGTAGCCCACGGCATTTGTCCTCCATCAGAATTTATTTTTCCTGAGAGTTTCTGCCAACGTCACAAGGTTCTGTTAAGAATCCATTGGTTCTGTTGGGTCATATATGTATGCCTTAAATAAACATTCTAAACAAGTATTCTGATTGTACGGAGCTGAGCCATGCATGGGTCCCCCCTAAGGATAATAAAACCTCTGAGTAGGGCCAATCTCACACAGGGAAAATAACAAACTCAATAAATCAAAGGATTTACCAATCAAAGGAAATGGGGGTGACAGCCAGGAGAACAGAAGAGTTACCACTATCATGAAAGATGATGGGAAGCAGTTTCACATGACATAAGACAATTTTGTGGGAGACCCTCTTATCAAGATGGCTTCTTTCTGCCCACATCTTATCCATACTGATAAAGTCTTTTTATAACACTTCTTACATTTCCTTAGTCATAGGAAGGGCCTTCCTGAAAACAGTTTAGTCTTTTTAGTCTTCATGTTCCTCCTAATGTGAATGAGATGACATATTATTATACGTACTTTCCTTCGTGGAAAATCTCCACCTGTGCCTGATCCTAGAATGGGGGAGCAGGGCTTACATTTTGGAGAAAGATACAGATAGAGATCAGGGAAGAGTTACTATGTGAGAAAGTACTGTTTAAGTTCCTGTAAAATAACAGCTCGATCCTGGCTCTTCAGAATCTTGGAAAGTTAGAGCTGGAAAGTGGACCATAAGACTATGTTTGTATTACAGATGAGGAAATATATTACAGACTGTTTGTATTACAGACTGAGGTCAGGGCAGTTAAATGATTGTCTAAGGTCAATTGGTTAATGTAAAGGGAAAAATAAGAAACCAAAAAAAAAAGAGAGAGAGAGAGAAAGAAAAAGAAGAAGGAAGAAAGAAACCCAGTCATGTAGTCTACTGACTTCTTTCTGGTCTAGAATTTCTCTTTGCTGAAGTTTAATGAATCAGCAATTCTGATAAACTCACAAGGTGTAGTGGCTGCAAAAGAAATAGGAACTGAGCTAAAACTTAGATTACAACAGTAATAATCCACTGATTATCATATCATATTATTATTAAAATAATTATTATTATTTTCCATACAAACAACTGCAAACCTACATTTGCCCACCCCTGTATATGTTAATATATTTTGCATTATTTTAAAAATACACATTTTTGTTGCCTGAGCAACTTAAAAGAAAAGCTGTCTTTTTTGGGGGGATGGGAAGGCTCTCAGAGGACCAGGGACTTTGGAGGGGAGGGGAGTGAGGGGTTTGTAGAAGCAAATTCAGGAGTTTGGTGCATTTTAAGTTTCAGATGAATATTAAACAGCCAAGCAGATGTGGAACAGGAGTTTCAGGGGAGAGGGTTGGGATAGAGAGGTGAGTTTCAGAGTAGATGATAGATATTTGGAGCAATCATATGGCGACATCGCTGAGGGACTAAATGGACGTAAAAAGCCCCAGCGCTCCTGAATGTTTAGGGGGAAGCACATCAAAGGAAACTCAGAAAGGAACGGCCAGACAGACAGAAGCGGAGGCTGGCCACTGTGGTCTCCTGGAAGCCAAGGGAAGAATGTCTTTCAAGGAAGGCAGCTACGTGAACTGGGTCCCATGATGGCAGGTCAAGAACAAGGCCTGAGATGTGAGCGTGGGGTCAGCAACGTGGGAGTCATCAGTGACCCAGAGTAGACAGGATGCTTGTAAAAGCAAACATGCAGAGGCACAGGGAAGAGGCAGCTCCCACAGTGCTCTGCTCCAGGCTGCTGTTCTGACTGGTCCACCCCAGCACCGGGGGCTCCCCGTCCCCTGCTGAAACTCAGCTCTGCCTACACCGACCCAGGCCGCTCCTCGCACTGGCTCCTGCCTCCCTTGGGTTGACTGGCCACATGATGGGGGACAGGCCAGCATTCACTGTGATGACAGCAGGCAGTTCTGTTGTCTTAAAGAGACCAGGTAGGCATTGTCCTCACCCCGTGGGCCCTGGGTGAGCTGGTCCCCTGCATTCCTGAGGCTCAGGGGCTGGGTCATGGGCATCTGTGAAAAATATCCTGATATCACCAGCCCTTTGACTGAGGTTGTTCCCATCGTTGAGTTCAGTGATAAAATTCCGTTTTTTCACATTGAATAGACAAATTCAGGATTTGTCATGGTTCTGGACACCAGGGTCAACTATCAGCTGGATCATCCCAGGGACCAGGAAATCTCCCAAGTAAACCCTCCGGGGAAGGCTCCCTCAGATCTCTGCTTTAGGGCACCAAGGAGGATGTTTCTAGAACTATGCCTGGACCATGGGCATTTAAAAAAAAGTGTTCATAAGGGTCTAGGTAATTTCAGCCCGACGAACTGCAGCCTGTTGATATTCATTTTGTAGACTGAATCTTAGACTCATTGTAACGATTTATGAACAACTACTTCGGGCCCAGTTGCAGCTCTGTGCAGAGAATATGCCGAGTGAGTCACCAATAACGCCGTGCCAGTCACACGGGGTGAAGGGACTCAGCCCTTCGCGGCACAATCAGGGGCCCCAGATGCTCTGCAATAAAACCAGCCTGGAATTATTCTGGCTTCCAGCCTATTAACTTTACCACTTCCTTAACACAAAGTGTTCTACTATCAAATTTCCCAGCAGGAGACGTGACTGTTTGGCAAGATTCACAGACGCTGAGAAGCTTTGTGAGGTTTCTAGGTGGGTCTTGTCAAGGCTGGACCTTCCCCTGGTCATCTGTGACCTCTCAGCAGTGAACAAAGATGCTGAGGGCATTTCTCTTTTTTTCTACAATCAGTGTCAACCATGATCCTGTTACAGAATTTTCTTCTGCCTGGTTGGTGTAGCTCAGTGAATTGAGCACGGGCCTGTGAACCAGACAATCTCGGTTCGATTCCCAGTCAGGGCACATGCCTGGGTTGCAGGCCAGTTTCCAGCAGGGGACACATGAGAAGCAACCATACATTGATGTTTCTCTCCCTCTCTCCTTCCCTTCCCCTCTAAAGAAAAATAAATAAAATCTTTAAAACATTTCTTCTAAAAACAAAAATTAACAGTGGCAGAAAGGACCCTTAAAAATAGCTAGGAAGAAACACATTGCTGCTTCCATTTCTCCTGCTGAGCCCACTTGAACGTGGCCAGGTCGGCTACCTCGGCGAAAGCCCCTCTTTCCCGTCCAGGGCCTGACGAAGGCCAGCTGACCTGCCCTCGCCCGCCTTGCACCCTCCTGGGGCGCGGTCTCCTCCCGGCCTCTGTAGACGGCTGGTCTCCTCAGGCAGGCGTCCCCCTCCTGGGCTGGGACTGCTCTTCACAGACACTGAAAGAACTGAGCAGGGACAGTTCCATCCTTTCCACACCTGTGACCAGCAGCAGAGTCCAGTGCTGTGTCATCGTAGCTGTGTGCACTTGGGCACAAAGCTGACACATCACCAAGCCTCAGTTTCCTCATCTGTAAAATGGACGTGTTTACCCCAGAGGCTCGTGCAAGGGCTGAGGAGATAATGCAGCATGCAATCCACCTTCCTGGGGTTGCCAGCTCCATACTCTTGGCCATCTCCACCCTCTCTACCCCCGTCCTGCTGGTGGGGAGATGCTGCTGGGAGGGGGGGGGAAGGTGGGGAGGGAAGAGAGACAGGCAGAGAGCCACCCAGAAAGATGCTCCCTGCCACCCCTCTGCCCCTGCCCAGTGAGTGGTGGGAAGCTGGAGTGGATAGAAGAGATGGCTAATGCTGGCGTGCACCACTGAGGAATGCAAGTTCAAGGGCAGAAAGTTGTAGTCTCTGAGTTTATGCCTCTTTTGTGCCACGGCACTTTCTGGAACTGGCACTTCCTGAGACACAGAACCACCCCAAAACAGAGCAATCTCTTCAGAGAGGTTCTTTTCAGGAAGTGTCAACCGAATATCTGTAATCTTTTGGGTCCCCACCCCCATCATAGGTGAGGAAGCTGAGGATGTCCCTTAAATGCCGCAGCGAAGAGGCAGAGCAGGGAGCCCCAGCCTCCCCAGGCCCCTGGCCCAGCACAGCTCTCTCTGCTGGGGCGCAGCTCTGCTGAGGCTGAAAGAACCTCTGCAGGGAGGGCTTGCCAGGAGCCAGGCTCTTCAACACTGGTCCGTTTGAGTTCCCGTCTCTCTCTAGGCACTGAGACAACGGAATCTGGCACTTAGAAGCCTTTTGGCCCCCAGGGCCCACATCCAGATCAGTGGCACCCAGAGCGCCATGGGTGGGTAACACAAAAGAGACTCAGGAATGGGTCACACGCAAAGCAACCAGAGAGTGTGAGCACAGACATTACAGAGAGTCCCACAGTCGGCCTCTGTCCTCAATGGCAATGATTACCGTCCACCCAGGGCTCACTGTGGACCCTGCTGCGGCTTTACAGGGTGATGAGTGGAGGTTTTAGTTCACGTTTTTTGTGCTGCTGTTCTCCCTGTCGCTTTCCCCCCTTAGTCGTCCCAACTTTTGGCTCTCGCCTGGTGGTGGACACTGTGGGAGATACTTCTTTAGGGGCATAGGACACAGTTTGAGGTCTTTGGAGGGAAAGAGGTGGAAGGCACCAGAGTGGTAAGAACCTTGGAGAAGTTCCTTCAAGGCTGATAGTGGAACAGAGATTTGAGAGGACCCTGCATGTAAGAAGTGCAAGCCCCCCACCCAAGGTCCCATCACCCCCCCCCACCCAAGGTCCCTGGGGAAGAGGAAGGAACTCAGAGAACTTGACTTTGAGGGGTAGGGGAGGGAAGAAAATGCCTTTTCCTCTCTCCTCTTAGAGCCTGTAACAGGACCCTGTGAATTTAACGACCAAAAGACAGGTTCACAAGAGAAAAGAAATGCAACCTAAAAATATTTTAAATTTATGTGCACCTGGCCTTGCAGAAAAAGAAGTAAAAACCCCAAAGAAGTGATTAGACACGGGGGCTTATGTACCACTTTGACAGAGGAACATAAATTGTGGTTTCTCGTGAGGTTTGCGGCTCCTCTCCCCGCGGCCCCAGCACCTCCTGTGAGTTGGGCTGCTCTCTCCATCCTGGAACCAGAGAGGGGGACATCGTGCCCTGCTTGTAGAAGGTAAGGGGGGTGGGCAGAGAGCTCTTCCTACATCCATCCATTCTCAGTTGCCTTCAGCTCAAAACAATACAGAGAAATCTGATCAGATCGCTGGGGAACAGAAGGGGGCGGAGGTAGGAGTTTGCCCAGGCAACAGTACAGAGTCTAGGACAGGAGTGGCTGAGAAGCCGAACGACTCCAGAGTGCACGGAATTATGGGTGAGAATTTGGAAATAAAAGACGGGCTCTCGGACCGGTGGTTGTGGGCTGGCATCGGATCTTGGGGGCGCTTCTGTCTGGAGGATGCCTGGACTATGGAGCTGCAGCTGCCTGCGTTGCCCAATGGGCAGTGTTTTGGGTGGGAGGGAACTCTGGGCGCAGCCTAGGGTCCAGCTGGCCTGGCAGAGGGTGGCAGGGTTCTTCTCCTTTGGGTTTTCTAGAGGGAACTGGCTCTGAAGCAGAAGCCTGCCATTCTCCCACAGTTGTGTAGCTTTTGTGTCTTATGCTGTTTTCAGTTTGTAATCTAACCCTGTAGAAATAAGACAAAACTAACTGCGGAGAATCAGAGAATTCGTGTATTAAAGAGTTTAGTTTTAATTGATAAGTTTAAGTGATTAAAGTTGTAACTAAAGAGTCAAAGTCTCTCCTGAATTCCTCTCGGGGAAACTGAATTCATCATATGGCACCAGCTGTATTGATTTACTTGGGCACCGCAGCTAAGAGGCAAAGTTCCTTGGTGGCAAAGGGGACACGGTTTCCTCAACAGGAGGGCACAGGACAGTTGACGTGTCACTCATTACAAGCCACCAAACTCACTCTCAACCATGCAGGGAAGGGAAAATCAGTCTCCGAGTTAGTAAAAACAAAACAAAGAAACTTAGGAAGAAAAGGAAAGGGAAAGAAACACCTGTAAGAGAGTCCTTTGTGACAGCTTGGTGGCCCCGGTGGGAAAAGCTCCAGCAAGCTCCTGGGAGAGCTTCAGTATCTCTCCTCCCACACCGCCTGGGCTGGGGTGGCTGCCTGCCCCTGAACCCTGGAGCAAGACGCCCCTCCCCAACCCCCAGGGTCAATGAGTCCCTCATCCTGGAGGAAGGAAGTGAGGTCTGGTTTCCACTGTTGCTATAAAAAAACCAGGGCTTTGTTTCTCAGGATTGCTCCTCTCGGGGTTGCAACGCCCGACTTGCTTTAGCAGGAAGAGCACCCTCCTAAGACAAAGGGCTGTTTCACCGCGGCCCCGTGAACGCGCGAGATGTTCCGCCCCGACGCCACCGGGTGGCGCCGAAGGAGCCGGCATGGCGAGGCCCTGGCTTCTGCTTCTGTCCCGTCCAAACAGGACACTCGGTCACGGAGGCAAACTGCACAGGTGATCCTGAGGGAAGTGGGCCAGCCCTCACTTCCAAAGCCACTTTTAATGGGGACATTCGCTGTTTTCTTTCTCTTAGGTAAAGAGGAAATAAACGCATATTTAGAAATAGTCTGTTCTTACTTGAAAACGCAGTGTGGATTGGTCTGTAAAAGACCATCTGTGTAAGACTGTGCAAATAGAGTCCCGTGCAAACGCAGCTCCAGGGCGAGCCGTGGGGAGGGCTAGCGCGTCTCCCTGGGGTCGTCCAGGCTGATCTGTGGCTGCGCGACGACCGTCCCAAAGCTCGCCTGACATTAACATTGCATCTGCTGCATGCCATGGGTTGAACAGTCGCTGAGCTCAAGTTCAAGAGTAGAGGACAGAGACCCCACCTCTCCAAAGAAGGGGTATCAGAGAGTGGGGGGCTGTGGTGTCCAACAGCGTAGCTAGGATGCTGGCTTTCTCCACTTATTCTCTTGCCGCCTTCCTCATCCCCTTTGTTAGTCTCAGCCTCCATCCTTTAAATTTGGGGCTGAGCGGGGACCTGAGCTCAGAGGGATGTGACCTCACACCCACCTTTCTTCTCCCACCCTTTAACGGGATCGCAGTCCTCCAGGACTACGTTCCCTGAGTGTGGCCAAGCTCGCAGATGAAAGCAAAGCTGGCGGTAGCCTGAACAATGCCCTTTCCGGAAGGGCGGACAGGGGGGCAGGAAGACTCACCGCCGGTGTTTCCGGGGGCTCCAAGCAGCTGGAACCCCTGCGTGTCTCCTCTCTGTGTCTCCATTCCCTCACCTGTAAAATGGGGATAACAATAGAAATCCCCTCAGGGGCACGAGGTGAGTAATACACGAGGTAACCCACAGCCCTTAACACTGTGCCTGGGGCAGAGCACAGATTTGGGAAACCTGGGACAGCATGATCTCATCCATGGGGCTCCTGTCTCCTAAGGACCTTCAAGACGATAGGCATGGATTCGGCCTTACTGTCCACCGTTCTAGCACTTGGCTGGTGGGCCAAGCAGGGCAGTGTGGCCCAGGGGGCTGAGAAGCAGCTTTAGGCTCTGCCAGCTGCATGAGAAGCCAGGGAAAGGCCAGCTGCAGGGAGCAGGGCGGGCAGGGCTGTGGGAACTGCAGGGATCTCATGCTCCCTGTCAGCGCTAGGAGTCTCTGTTGCCCCTAGAATTTTGAGATCGCTGACTCCTTCCCTAGCCTGCTGGCTAATTCTCTCGGTGGGTTCGGTGTGCTTTTTTTAATAAAGGAAATGAAACTCACACGCTTACACCCCCCTCCAACCTGACACACACACAACACACACTTAAAATAATTAACAAATGGGGGATTAAGGATAGAGATCTCCTGCCTTTGCTGGATCAAAGCCAGCTGCTTAAAGGGCAAGTAGCCACCAGAGGGCCCTGGGAGCAGGGCTGCAGTCGCCGGGCCCAGGAGCACTCACCACCGGTCTAGGATGCCTTGGCCTTCTGTGTGCATTCAGGAGACCTGGGCTGGGGGGGACAGGGGGAGCGTGGCTGGGCAGCTGACGCTCCCTTCCAGCCCGGCTGCCCCAGTCAGAGCAAGGCCAGGGGCTCCATTTGTGGCTTTGTAAGTCTGCAGCCCTCAGCACCCCCTCCTTCCAGACACTCTGGCCAGTGTGTGTCCCAGGTTTTCTGCTGTTCTCACGGCCAGCCCCCCATCTTCTATGCCTTCTCAGCTGGCAACCGGCCTGCCTCTCTCCTACCCCCCCCCCATGGCGTTGGACTGCAGGCTCTGCCCTGGGGTCCCGCCCTGATCACCCTCATCCCTCACCCCCTTGGCTCACCTGACTGCTGCTCACCAACTCTGAGCGACTCAGCCCACAGGAACCCAAGTTCCGCCCCCTCTGCAGCCTTCTCACCCGCTCACCTGCCCTCCCTCCCCTCTGCCCACCCGCATCCTGCCCCTGCTCACAGCCACCTGCACCCCCTGTCCCAGCCCCAAGTGCTTGGCTCCAGCGTCCTCAGGAGCCCAGTGTCCCCTCAGCGGGCACACCGGACACTGTCCCCATGGCTTTACAGCACATGCGCTTCTCCAGGACGCCAGCGACCTTCCCTGCCTGACCTTTCTCGTCCGCTCTTCCGCTTCCACAACCGTTTCCGTAGCAGAACTTCCTCTGTGACCTGCCCCTACACTTCAGGGTTTCTCTCCTGCTGTTCATCCTCTTACTACTGTGCTACGGTGGCAAGTTAGGAATTCCCTACTCACCTGTCTGCCCCCTGTTCTAGACTCTACCCCTAGGTCAAAGCTCACATATCATTAGTTTAACAGGACAGTTTAGTAACAGCTCACAGGTCTTTGTGTCTCCGGGACCAAACAGACCCTAATTAGTCGCTAACTCTCCAATGAGTTTTCTTTACTTTTGGATTATGCGTTGCATTTCTTAGATTTTACACTGCCCTTGCCTCACTTATTCCATGGCTATATGAGAAACGTCACTGAGAAAATGTAATTCCTTAAGGATTCGTACTGGGCGTGCTGACCCCACAGGGGCTCTCCAGCTGTTCGTGTGTCTGTTTCAAGGACATGACTGTTTGTTTATAAAAAAGATGTCGTCTGGCTTGAACATGACAAGATGGACATGTTTAGGGGGAGCAGATGGGGACGAGGCAGAAGCCCCTTCCATGGTCAGCCCCCAGGTCAGGTGTCCCTCGGTCAGTCCCAAAATAGCAGTGGCTGTCATCTTCAGACAGAAGAAAAGCAGCAGGGCGTTTCTGTGACAGCAGGAAGTCACTGCTGGGTGTAAGAAGGGGGTGGCGTTGCTTCCTTCAGACTGATTTTAGTATTCACCTAAGGATAATACTGTCAATAAACTAAGAAAATAGAATAATGCTTTCACAACCAAATAGGAACTATTAGCTTAGGAAAATAACAGTTGCTTGTATTAAGATATGATGCATCTGGACCAGGGAGAGAACGGACTGATCTGGGAGAAGGAAGTTAAGGCACAGGAAGTGGAAGTTGGGACAGGAAGGAAGTAGGAAGTGTCGGCTTCTTTAACCTGACACATTTTACCCAGGGCAAATCTAACTTGTGCTTTGGGTAACTCTGGGTGTTAAAACGGACTCACATGTTTCTTTCTAGGCTGTCACTTGTCCTTTGTAACCCCATCCTCTCCTAGGTCTGCGGGGTGGCATCAGGGAAAACCCTTGGGTTGTGCTAGGCTGCCCCATGTAGCCAGCCTGGCTTGTGGTGACAGTTCAGAAGACCTTGGGTCACTGGACTCCCCAAGCTGCAGGACAGCTGTTGGCCGTCGCCGAGTAGTTGCTGTCCTGTTAGATAACACGGTGCATCTCCAGCATCCAGGCCTCACGGGTCCTGCGGCCTCAGCCAGTCTGTTTCTTCTTTCATGTAACTGGCCTGCAGGTGGTCGCAGTGGGATTTTCTTGAGCCCATAGTTCTTCACCTGTTTTTCTCCAGGCAAAAATGTCCTTACGTCAACGCTTCGTGTGAGTGTGGACTCTGAAAGGGAGCACGGGCCAAGGGAAGACAGAGGTGAAACTGAGCCCTGTTACAACGAAAGTGAATCTCTGACAGGAGGCCCTGGTCCAAGCTGCGAGCCTGCTGGTCTGATGTATCATGTTGCACACACATTATCTCGTCTACGCTTTGTAACAGTGTTGATGCGCCTGAACACGAATTTTTGTTGATGTATAATGTTCTTGCTTGCAGACCTAGAGGGTTGGCATTAGAAGGAATTTCCAAATTTGAAAACAAGGATTTGGGTTTAGTCTATGCTTTCAAAAAATCTCTATTTATGGCCAATAGCTATGTTTTTATCAGGCTCTCAAATGTATCTTGGTTTCATGAACTGGAATCAGCACTAGAGTTACACTAGAGTTAATATTCTCCATGTAACACTTTCTCCTTCCTAAGGTGCTTTATAGGGAGTAGGTGTAATAAAGACATTTCGAAAATCTTAGTTGTTCATGGCCTTGCTCCCAAGCCAAGGACCTAAGAGACCCTCAAATTTCACATCAGCCGTTTGGAATATGAACTGCTCCCTCCCTCACACCTGGGAGAACTGTGGTTTGCTACCTAGTGCCACCGTCAAGACAGGACAGAGCTCCTTGACATACTGCCTGGGGATGGTGGGATTTACCACGGGAAATGCTGGCAGAGGCAAAGGCGGACGAATAAATGTGTGTATGACGGGCATAGTTTCCAACAAGACAGTGGGAGGAAGGCTCACGAGATCTCCTCCTTTCATTCATTACGTAGGAGGTCTTTTGTCCACTCTTTTTTACGGCTTCCCATTGGCTTGAGAGAGGAACAATTGGGGGTTTATTAGAACCTGGTGAACCACTGGGAATGAGTTTGTGAAAAGTCAGGAGGAAAGTATGCAGTGTGATGCACCCGGACAGAAAAACTAGACCCAGCATGTCCATGAAAGTGATGAAAAGCGAGGGACTGCTCGTTCTCAGTTCTCCCAGGACTGCGCATGTGGCGTCCTCTCACACAGGAGTCTCATCACGAGGGTAAGGGCAGTGACTGTAAAACTCGGACTTGGAATGGTCCTGAACAGAGAGTACCGCTCCCACTTGCCCATGGGAAGTGGGTTTTCCTCCTGTCCCAGAACAGCTGCCCATCACTGGAACTGCCTCTGGGTGGCCCGAGAAGGAGGCCGATAAAAACTGTTATTTGCTGGGTGCTTTCTCCGCACCAGGCGCTGTCCAGGCCCTGCGCCCGCGTTAGTGCACGGAGTCCTCCCCCAACACTTGGTGGTCTGCACTGTTTTAATCTGTGCTCCATAGATGAGGAACGCTGAGACATAGGGGGACTCCGAGGCACTGAAACCACGTGTGCAAGGTCATCTCAAATGGAGGAGCCAGGATCCCAAATCGGGCACTGGCTCCAGAGCCTGGAACCCTGATTAGGCTGCAGGAGTGGCCAGGCACGGCTGAGGCCATGGACAGAATGGCCAGCCGCTGGCTGACCTGTAGCTGCAGGAGCAAGGCTGGGCTTGCCCAGCAGTGCTGGACGGTCAGCACAGGTCCTGTTTGCCCGACTTAGGCCAGACTTGGGAAGGAGCAACACGAACCACTGTCTTTGGCGCTCAGCTTTTCTCTTAGGTGAATTGTCTGCACACAGCCTTTGCCCATTTTTCTGTCCAGGGTTTCTTGGCCATCTTCACAATCATCGTCTGCCCCCTCAGCCACCAGGGCAGGTGTTTTTGTCCACATCGTCTGCTGCCGCATGCCCGGCACGTAGGACATGCCTGGCACATCATAGGTGCTTGGTAAATGTTTTCTGAATGAATGAAGAAACATGAACCCCTGTCCGTCATTCCCTAGTCATTGTAGGGTACCTTAAATTCATCTTCTGTTCCCAAATTTTACATTTTTATGTGGTGAAATGTATTGATCTTTTTCTTCATAAAAGACGATTTTAAAGTCCTTTGCCAGCCATGTGTCATATAACTATGTAGCCATTTTTTCTAATTTTCTCATTGTGACTTTTTTTTTACTGCTTTAATTCACCCATAATTTGTTTTCTCTTATGGTGAAAATAGCGGTCAAATTAATAGTGGCCACAAATAATTTCATTCCAAATGGGCCTTCAGTATCAACTAGGCATCCTCTCTTCCACTGCGTTGTCCAATGCCGCACGGGTATCACATCTTCAAGTTGTTGTGCACGTGCGTTTAATAGATCGTGTATATTTAAATATCATTTAACACGTGTCTACCCCCATTAATCCTTTTAAAAATCGGATCGTTGATATTGTGAGATGTTCTGACTATAGAAGTCAACCTAGAAGTTAATGTGGGAATAATTGACATTTGGAGAAATTCGTCCGGAAACGTGAACAGGGAGAGCTAGTTCTTTTCGATCAGTGTTCTTGGCTTTCCCGAGGAGACTGCTAATAGTGGCGGACGCCTTGCTGGCTTTCTGATGGTTGTGGGGCCCAAGTCTGCTGGGCTCCAAGGCCCAGCTCTTACCCATCACACAAAACTGTCCCGGAATCGTGGTCTAGACCCAGGAGCGGTTCTACTGTGTGATCCTGGGCAAGTCACTTCGTATTGGGAAAACTCGAGTTTCATTTCTCTGGAGCAAATGATTACAAAACTGACCTGAACGCTCAATGTGGCCCAAATGCACTTGATTCTGGCCTTGCCCCCGACACTGGGCAGCTTCTCAGAATTGAAATGCAACAGCTTGGTGAAGCAGAACGACAGGTGTTGGTGCTGGTGCTGCCTCCCCCCCCCCCACCCCCCGGGAATGCACCACGCTCGGTCACAACTGTGACTGGCCTGAGCAGCCGGTTGCACCTCAGGGTTCCCCACAGCTGCACGCTGACCACCCCAGTCCTGCATTCTCCGCTTCAGACCCTGCAGTCCCCCGATGATACATGATTGCTTCTTGTTAGGATGGTTTTTAGTACTTTCACTTTTGAAGCCTTATTCGTTTATTTTTCAAATCACAGCCTCTTGGCCTCAGACATGAGCGTGTCCCCGCACTCCCCACACGGTGCCGGTTCCTCTCCTTCTTACAAGTGGAGGGCACCGGGACTCGGCGACGGGTGTCCGGGTGACAACACTGCCGGGCGGACAGAATGTACCCGTGCGCACATGTGTGTGCATACAAGCTCCTTCACGTCAGTGCTTAATGTACAGAGAACTGGAGTTCTGTGAACATTCCCAGTGGGACAGC